GGCATTGTGATCTTTTGATGACTTTAGTGGAATTCTATTGGCTATTCGAAATTTTACAGGCATCTTAATTAAAGGATGGACAGGTTTACAAGTAAGCTCAATCGTATTGAAAAGTAGCTGAGACTAAACTCAACCATCATGAACAACTATTATTTGCAACTTACAATAAATTTTGATGACTTTAGTGGAATTCTATTGACTATTCGAAAATTTCACGAGCATCTTAATTGAAAGATGGACAAGTTTGAAAGTGAGCTCAATCGTATTGAAAAGAAGTTGAAGCTTAGCTCAACTCTTATGAATAACTATTATTTGCAACTTACAATGAATTTTGATGACTTTAGTGGAATCCTATCGACTATTTGGAAATTTCATGAGCATCTTAATTAAATGATGAACAAGTTTAAAAGTAAGCTCGATCATATTAAAAAGTAGTTGAGGCTGAGCTCAATCATCGTGAAAGACAATTATTTGCAACTTACAATGAATTTTGATGACTTTAGTGGAATCCTATTGGCTATTCAGTAATTTCACAAGCATCTTAATTGAAGGATGGACAAGTTTAAAAGTAAGTTCAATCGTATTGAAAACTAGTTGAGGTTAAGTTCAACCGTCATTAACAACTATTATTTGCAACTTACAATGAATTTTGATGACTTTAGTGGAATCTTATTAGCTATTCGGAAATTTCACTGGTATCTTAATTAAAGAATGAACAAGTTTGAAAGTATACTCAACCATATTAAAAAGTAGTTGAGGCTAAGCTCAAAAGTGAATACCTATTATTTGCAACTTATAATGAATTTTGTATACAAGTTAAGTTGTGGTGGCTATTGTTATTAACATTAGGAAGATTTCGTTATGAAAAATCCCCAAAGGTCAAAAGAATTTTTTTTTATAAAAAGGTTGAAGTTAAACTATGATATGTTTCTAACTGAACAACTAAAACTATTTATATTAATTTAGCTAAGAAGAATCAAAGAATTTTTTTTTAAAAAAAAAAAACTTTAAAGTCAAGTCTGCTTAAAACAAAGGATCAAAATTCTCGAGCATTCTGCAATAATTTAGTGACTTTGAAGCATAATTTTATAAATTCCATTCTTAACTTTCTTGCTAGAGCTCAAATTTAAAATGTATCTTCAATTAATTTTTCCGAAGTGTTTCTACTTTTGTTAATTTATCATAGTGTCCATTTACACACACAAATAGATATGTGGTACGGATAATGTTATTTTAATACCATAATTTGTTGTAGGATAATAGTTTATATTATTTTTTTCAATTTTATCTTTAAATAATTTAAAATCTTTTTCTAATTCACATGTACTATTACTATAGTATAATTTGTGCGATGGTACAAAATGTTGGGGAGGTTACCATCATTTCACACATTACTGTTTGGAGGTAACTGCAAATTTAGGAAAGTAGGGGGTGCCAAGAGTTATTACACTCCACATTGCTATTTCATTTCTCTTTCTCTATCTGAGGAAGAAAACTACTTCCTTCTAGGGTTTCTACTCACCTTTCTGGAAAAACGACGGCGAACTCTTCATCAGTTTCCGGCGAACCCAGCTCATCTTTCTATCGGTAATCTCACTAGCTCAACTGTGTACATAAATATATATATATATATATATATATATATGCGAATGCCTTTTACTCGAAAATGAAGATAAACCCGATTGCAATGTTACAAGTATAGACCTTTAAAAATGGTTTTCTCGAAAATTCGAAGATGGGTTTGTTCTTCTTCTTCTTATTCTTGTTTCTGTGTCTGTGTGTGTGAAATCCTGGTAAAGGATGATGAATATTGAAGAGAAGACCTGGGGGCTTAATTTTTTATTTATTTTTTAAATTTTTTTAGTTATTGTAATGAATTTTCTGCGAACAAATGCGATTGATCTATTTAGAACAAAACAAAATATACTCTTTCTCTAATTTCTTTGCAATTTATATCGACTTTGCAAGTGTTAATCTTACAAAGCTTCAGTATTGCCACTGCTATTTTTCAGCCCAATTTGGTATTTTAATTTATGAACATATTTGATTTGTAATATTCTTGTCCAGATAAATTCCAGTTACAGCACACAAATTTGATTGTCACTCCCATTTTTCTGTATCTGGATTTCAGGTAGTAGTTTTTAAGAAATGGGTTGTTTATATATGGGTCATATTGCCAATTGAAGGTGAAAAAGTTATTCTAGAATTCAGGAAATGAGTGTGATCTCAAGCTTAAGGAATCATTTTCTTAATGGGTTATGCAGAAGAGCTGTTCCTTGCTCTGTGATAGCACTGAATGGCTGTAATTATAATGTGGTATCTCGACGACACTTTGCTCAACCTGCAAGGAAAGAGGAAGAAGAGGATTACGAAGAAGTAGAGTTTGATCAAAGGAAGCTTCCAGCTGATTATGATCCGGCAACTTTTGATCCTTCCATGCACCGGAGTCCTCCCACCGATCGAGTTTTTAGGCTTGTGGATGAAATATCTGGGCTTACATTGGTTGAAGTTGCAGAGTTATCATCAATTATGATGAAAAAGTTAGGTATGAAGGAGCCCCCAGTTGTGGGGGTCATGAAAGCAGGAGCTGCTAGAATGGCAATGAAGGCACCATCGGCAGCCAAGGAAGAGGAGAAGAAACCTGAAAAGACTGTATTTGAATTGAAATTGGAGTCGTTTGAGGCAGCTTCGAAAATTAAGATAATCAAGGAGGTCAGGAGTTTTACCGAATTGGGTCTCAAGGAAGCGAAGGATTTAGTGGAGAAGGCACCTGCAGTGTTCAAAAAGGGCGTGTCAAAAGAAGAGGGAGAGCAGATAATTGAGAAGATGAAAGCTCTCGGGGCAAAGGTCATTATGGAATGAAAGTATGATCACGAATATTTTGTTCCTTACAGATTTTATGAATTCTGTTAATGTATCAGCTTTTCAGAAATTGTGGTGTTTGAAATGAACTCTACTTGAGGTCTTATCTTAACTTAGTTTGAGTTGAGTAATTTGCTAGTTGTTGTTACTGTCTGATGATGTTGATCTCTCTTGGCTTAGGAACCTAGAATTTTGATTAGGAATGTTCAAATAATGCCCATTTTTGGAATCTCAAGGCTTTTCTTAGTTGTTTTTTCTTCACAATTATAGAATGATTAAATATCGAACATAAAGGGAGGAAAATTTATATCACTTTATTGGTCTTTTTCCTTTTTTTTTTTCCTTGTTAAATGCTGAGAACATCGTGTTATTCTGGTAATCTGGTTCAAAGAATAAACTCAGTGCCTATTTGGTTTTGTAGTTTAACAAACTAGAAGCATTTCTGATTCTAATTTTTTACTTTTTCTCATGTTTGGTAGCGTAAAATATTTAATTTTTTGTTATAGAGAATTTGATAGCATGAGCTTTTGGTCAAAGTTTACATGCTTTTCGGATTGTGTTTGTGTGTTGAGGCAAAACACACAGAATCTGGGGTTAGATGAGCAGGAAAATAAAGGATGTTCAACATTACAGGGACAAGAATTGCTCATTATTGCAGAATATTGGAGAGGCTAAAGCTGGTCCATGATTGAAGATGACAAAGTAGTGCCATTACTGAGAACTTGGCCAAAGTCTTTACCTATGCCCCAAGTGAAGGATTGGTGGAATGCTTAACTTGCTCGCTTAATAGAAAAAGATACCTGTGGTAACTGAGAACCATATTTCTTTTTCTTCTTTTTCTTTACCCCGGCAAGAAACACACACACTTGCCCCTATGGGGACTTGAACCCTCGACCTTCTGCTTTGGAAGGTGAGGAAGTACTACACAGGTACGGCCTTTAGTGATAACCATATTACTAATGGAGAAACTTTTCAGGCCAAGTTTTGGTGGAAGAGGAAGCTATTGTCATACTCAAAACCCTTGGTATACTAATTCAATGTGAGCCTGAATATGAGAACTGACTGAACAAGGACATATCTTGCTAGATGTATTTATATAAAATCTGATACAGGAATATTATGAACTATAAGCAACATGTATTTAGTTACCAGATCCTTAAACCTTTTTTTACCCCCACCATTGCTTGTCCTGGATAACAATTTACAAATTTTGATATTAATTAAGAGTTTTTTTTTTTTTTTTTTTTTTCCTTTCTTCTTTTGTTCTCTTGAGTTTTTAAAGTTGAGAAGATGTCCCTCGTAGGTGTAGACCATGGTCCAGACGGCACAGGCACATCAGACATGGCTCCAACATCTCCTCCAACAACTTTCTTGAAACCCCAGAACTCCAAACTTTATGCATGACGAGGAATGTGCCCTTCAATAGAGAGTCAGTTGCACCAGATTACAACAGCCCACCTATACACCATAAGCTTGGATTAGAAACACCAACTGCACTATTGTTTCAGTAAAGTGCCCGTTTGCTTTCCTCTTCCACTGGTAAGTAACATCCCAACCCGCATATTGCCACGAGTTATGTCCATCTTCCATCTCCAATGCTCTATAGGCCAACCACACACACACACACACACTACGTATATCTGTAAACACGTGCACAATATTGCCTTCCAAGCCTCACACCTCCTATTGATTATTGCTGATATCAAACACTCCTCCTGGATACCATTGCCACATCTCCTTTCAACACAGGTAGGTCGAGATAGCGAGTTTAACCAGCCCTGTAATGTGCTCAACAGCTGACCACCTCGGTGTCAGCTAAGACGGGCAAAGGCACTCTCACTTGTGTATGTTAGTAGCATTTTTGGGCTCGGGCAACATTTTCTCTGATGGCTCAATTCAAGACTGTCTACTTTGCCCAAAAATAATTGCCATGAGAAGAGAAAAAACCAGCATTGTTCTGATTTCCATGCAAAAACCAACACTGATTGAGCACCAGTGCTTTGTCTGCATCGATTATGGCATTATCTGCAATCCCGATCTTTCTTGTTTCTTACCATTTTCAACACCTTTTGATGAGTGGGTACAAGAAGTTGAGAAATATCGAGAAAAGATCAATTTAAACTGGCTCCAGACACATCAGTAACCATACATAAGAACTAGAATGTTTCTCTTGAGCATAAAATTGAGATGATCAAATGCATTAAAAGACCATGGCACCAAAATAAAAAAATGCACAAACAAGTATTACAGAATGTTACAGCTCATACATTCATCTGATGTAACTTGGGGGTCTCATTCGAAGGGAATTAAAGCTAAAAATCTATTCCATTAACTACCAAAACTTGGAAGCATGATGCTCGTGTGGAAACACAAAGCATATCGAGAAGGGCAGCGAGCAATTTTTATGAAATTGTAACTTTTTTAATGCCTAAAGTGCCTCACGTTGGTGAACAGCAGTGAAACCCCATACTTGTTGCAACAATCTATGGCATCCTTATCTCTGATGCTACCCCCCGGTTCTGCAATAACACCAACCCCGCTTTCACATGCTTCTTCGACCGCATCTTTCCATGCTGTTTATAAAACAACACTCCAGTTAATATAAAATATGACCATCATACTCAGGAATACACACACACACACACACACACACACACACACACACACACACACACACACGATCATCATCAGGTTTCGTTACTTAAAAGGTCATTCAATTGAAGGTTGGCTGTTTATCAATCTGTACTCTTTTCAGTAAAAACTCGTGTATATCCCAACAATTACTGTACTCTCTTCACTTGTTTGCTCCCTCGTTAAGTTTACAGGTAGATCAACAAAATGCTAAATTACAATTGATTAAAACTGTAATAATTACCAAATGGAAAGAAGGCGTCACTGGCCAAAGCTGCTCCTTTGACCTCATCTCCCGCTTTCCTTAAAGCTATCCTCAAACTCTCCAAACGGTTTGGCTGCCCACTCCCCATACCTAGCATACAATTATTCTGTCCCAACAACGACCAGGATCAGAAATGATCTGTGTATTGTGCCAAAGAATTATTTTGCAGCAGTAATTTTATAACATAAAATTTGGAAATATTCTGACCTTTGCAATTACAATGGCATTGCTCTTGACATGCTTCACACATAGCCATGCGAACTCTGCATCACGAAGCTCACTTTCTTGTGGAGCCTTCTCAGAAACAACATTAAATTGGATGTCTTTTGGGGTTAAATCATCTGAATCCTGAGCTAACCAACCCCCACCAACTTGTCTGAGTGAGAGCTTTCCTTTCTCATTCTTGCTCGCCTCAAGAATTCTCAAAGTCTTTGATTTACCGCGGAGGATTTCAAGCCCCTTTTTTGAATACTTGGGTGCAACCACAATCTCGTAAAACATCCGAGTTTCACCATCCGTTGGGCTCCTGAACTCTCGGATGTCCTTTGCAAGGGCCTTGAAATGTGAAAAAGAAAAGTGTAATAAGGATGCATGCAAGGTTCAATTAAGGGCGTACAAAAAAGGCCCTAGTTCTCGAACCCCAGTCCAAGCCCAACACCCTGGTCTGCACCTGGCCCCTTGAAGTCCGGCTGTAGCTCTACCCAAATGGATCCATGTTAGGGCTTTTGAGTTTTGGAGTTGGTATGAAAGGGCCCGGAACTTATTTAAAGTTGGGGGGAGGGGCAAGTAACAGTTATACGACTGTTAGAGGCTAAATGACCAGTTCAGCCCTCTTTTTTATGTTCTTTTACATGCAAATTTTAAAAAATGCCTTGACATAAAATCTATGCATATAGATCAAAAACTAGTTTATTTATTAAAATGAAAACTACAGCTATTTGGAGTCAATAATTCAATATGGTAGAACCGCTACTTTCTTATGGCACTAAAAGAAATCAAAATTCAATATAATTATTGTGCAAATGTCTTAGTGGCTTCTCTATGGATGGAATAGTCACTAAAAGAGATAACGAAATCAGAAAATAAATGCAGATAATTGGATTTGAAACATATCATTAAAAAACAAACTTTCGACCAAGAGCATGTGTGCTAAAGTTGTTGATACCATTTAGTTTCATATAAAAGGCATTTATACAAACTTTATATATATTTACAAACTTAACTAATCTTATACACATAAAAAATGCGTACATATATTAGCATGTGTGTGTGTGTGTGTGTAAAAAATCTATTTTATAAATCATATGGAGCACATTGAAATGAAGTTCCAGGCCTCCCCGACCCGACAAACTGACAAGTTATTAATGGGCCTGGGCAGACGAAAACTTTAGGAAAAGACTGGCCCAATATATACCCCTAGTTACAATTTTTTCATTGCATCAGCTTTTACAAGTTAGTCAGGCAGAGCATTATATATTGTGCAACATCAAAGGACAGGAAGAGCTTTTCTGATTAAAGAAGAAAAGTGATGATTTAATGGAATTCCCCTGCTTTAGGAAATTACAGCACCCCTTGCTTATCTTGTCTGATGCAATGTGATTGATGATATAATTAAAATCTAATACTGAATAAGAGCTTGATTAGAATAAAAGAATTCTGTGCGAGATCTGTGGAGAAAAAAGAAAAACTCAAATCAACATACCTCATCAACCTCTATATTGACGGCTACAATACCACCAAATGCACTCACTGGATCAGCTTTTACAGCTAACCGATAGGCGTTAATGATATCATCACGTGAAGCTACCCCACATGGATTTGTATGCTTTACAATTACACAGGTAGGCCTATTAAAGTCACACACACAGTTCCAAGCTGCATCAGCATCTAAGTAGTTATTATATGACATTTCCTACACCAAGAAGGAAAAAAATGGTTAATATCCTCTTCAATTTCGGCATCATGGACCACCTGTACCCTGTCTGTGATAGAGAACAAATTAGTAATGTACTCATAATGGAATAACAAGTAATCAACAGAAGTAACAAATGAAGAGCTCTATTATGAAAATATTCCAAGAATAAAATACTAAAAGTGATCCTGTTATAATTATGGTACTAAAGTAGCAAATACTTACACATCAACAACATATGCAACCAAACACGAAGAACAAATGTGATTCATTCACTTTTTATCACAGGCACCCTCATCAACAAATCGGCAATTAAGTTATTATTTACAAGCAAAATCAATGTTTCTTTTTATTTTTCTTTTTACTTTTTTCCTTCTTTTGAAAAAGTTGCTGACTTGATGGCTTCTATGCTTCTACACAAGAGAATGAAAAACTTCTGGTAGGACCCTTCAACAGTAAGTAAATCTAATTCCCTTTCAGAAGTTGCTACCCCTCTTCTGCTTCTCTTTACCTGGGACCATTTTACTTCACATCCACCATAATAGTTCCAGCATTAAACAAGAGTAATTGTGGTTTTAACTCAGAAGTGCTCCTAATCAAAAGATTGTGTAACTACATACGCTATAAAAATGCAATGTTCCATATCTTGATAATAATACAAATATCTAAATATTAAAACAAACACAATCAAACCCATTTTGCAGCCTCAGTTTTAATGAATGTTCTCCCTAAATTAAGATATATATAGTCCATAAATAAATAAATAAATATATATATATATATATATATATATATATATACACACATAGCAGACAAGGAAGCCTTCTTGAACAGCATATCCAAGAATGGCACAAAGTGAGCTACACTCAACATATCACTAGTTATACAATTAACTGATGATGTAAAATTGCCCCGGACAATAATCGAGGTCACAGGTACTGTTATTGTCTCACCTTCCCATGGTGTTGAATAGCAGTTGCAATTCCACCAGCATTAACTTCTGAGAGACTCTTGTCAATATAAAATGCAGCCTTTTGATGAGGATTTTCACCATAGCGAAGTGAACTTTTGAGTGCGAGAGGAACTGTCAAGCTGGGAGGAAACTTGTCTTCCAACAAAGAAAAACCCAGTCAATGTATGTCTAAGAGGCATTAGGAACATGAAAATTAGATAAGTGAAATTCGATTTTATAGCAAGCATAACATGTACATGTGTTCTAAAATATAGTGTAAGCTAATTTAATTTTCCTTGATACTTATTTGATATCGAACAATGTCATTTTCAGATATTTATGCTTATATATTAAATTTTAATCATCTCATTGATTTGTAATATGACATCAACTTAACATCATGATCACTTACTAAAACAAATTACATCATGATCATGTGAATGTTGTGAAACCATTTTATTAACATGAGGTTCCCACATCAACTTTTCAAGTGGAAGGTTGAAGGTTCAAGTCCCCCATAAGGGACAATTGTGGGGGTGTGTGCCATGCTCTAAGAAAAAGGAATGTGCCTCGGTAATAATGGGAAATAGAGAGTATATGGAGCAGAGTACCTCCCCCAGTCTGTTTCCACAACCATTCTGAAACTGCAGAATCATAAGAAGCAACATGCTGAAAAGCCTTCCAGGCAAGCTTCCTTCTGAAACCTTGATCATCTTTGTCTCCTCGAAGAAATTCTAGGAGTGCAAGATAGTCTTGTGAATCAACAACAACCAAGACATCCTTGTGATTCTGTTCAATATGTATGTGTTAATCAGGATCTGACATAAGGAAGAAAAAAGAACACTAAGCAATTGTTATGGGCCTATCAAACTAATTGCTATGGACCTATAAAACAGAGACATATTGCCCAAGTATTATAATAAGGTTATGGTTTTAATTGCCCCTGAAGTGCAATTTATGGGCTTCTGGTTACACCAAGCGACTAATCAATGAACGTGAGCATTGATATCTAGAATATGATTATGTCATTACCCCTTTTAGTTCTTTAAATTTAAATGAATCTATGATCACTGATGTCAAGACTATGCCCGATCACCTATAACATTGATCTCTTATTACTATAATTGAGTTCAATCAGTTGAATGATACTTAAATGATGGAATTATTTTACCTTGCTAGTTAGTATGGTTTGTGGATTGACAGTCTGGCTAAAAGTAGTTTTACTCTAATGCATACATATAAATGTATATTGTTTGTTCTGACCTCAAAAGTGTCTGCGCCTGTATTCTAATCATCCTTGCTTCTTAGCACACAACTTATCACAAGGAAGATTTTTTAAAATAAAAAAAAAAATTACAAAAAAAATAAAATAAATAAATAAAAGGAATGCAGCTTTGCTATATTTGGAGACTACAAATTCACCTTTCAAAAAAAAAAAAAAAAAGTTATCAAAAGGAAATTGCTCCTTTCTTGTCAAAGGGAACACATCTGGTCATCTGCCACACCCCCTTACTGCTGCTTATCAATCTAAATGCCATCCAATTTGATGACCTTCACCACCGCCTCAATACCAGCCAATTGAAATAACTTTATAGCTTACCCCATGATTAATGTTTTGGCAGAAAATGAAGTCCATTTATTGGAAATTTTAAGGACTGGGATAATTGAGATTGGTTATTTTTTCAGTCAATTTTTTATCACTAGAAGTATGTATGATCATCATGAACGTATATGCCAAGTGTACAAGAAAACACAGTAGAATAATTGGTACACATACAAAAGTCAATATTTGCATTGAGATAAACAACCTTTGCAGCAGCTCTTATCATGGCAGGGCCACCAATATCAATGTTCTCTATTCCATCCTCAAATGATATTCCACCAGTAGAGGAAACTTTGTCATAAAAGGGGTACAAGTTTACCACCACTAAATCAAAGGTACCTGTAGAAGCACATCTTAGCAACAGCTATATGGTACCATATACAAAGAGATCAAGAGTATAACTTTTGCTGATTGGATAAAAGGACTAGATAAAATATTCATATCTATAAAGCATTTGGCTTCACTAAAAGCTCAACTAGGGTAGGAAAATATACATATGGCTCATATAATTAACATAGCGATTCCTCCAATCAGGTGGATTATTAATATCTCTTGAACTTGTAGTCTTCTACCATTTACATAAAAATGAAGGCTGTCCCACCCATTTGTGGTCTAACATGTCATACATAACTTTTATTCCATCGGAGAACTCAACTCTAATTCAATATAAATATTACTCCATTGTTATATATATATTCCTATTTTACCTTGCTAGCTTATATGTTTTTTACCATACCCTGCCTAAATACACTGATAACATAAAGAAGGTTGCTAGACATCTTCTGGTTTACCATATCATAGAAGTTCTACTCCGTTAATGTTATTGACTACAACTCATGATAACTATGCCATTACAATTATACCATCCCATTTTTACTGTACACTAACTTATATGATTCCTAACACCCACTAGTATATCATTTTCTATTATAATACTCAAGTAAGATATATGTGTCTGAGACATATATATATATATATATATATATATATATATATATATATATATATATATTCTGTTTATTATTATGCCTTCATCCATCTTCTAATCTTCAATTTCCTCTTTTATAAGCCCCATTAAAAAATGAACGTCCACTTAGACAAAGTTAACTTCAAAAAGAAAAATACTACAAAATAATTGAAAAAAAAAAAATTTAATCAATTCATATCCATCATAACCCAACAACACAAAATGGACTAGAAGAACAAAACATAGTAGAATGTAATTGCAAGACAAAACTGCATTTGATCCCATGCTCCTGCAATGGTGTGGTAGAACTCACATATTCCATGCTTGTCTAAAGCTTCCATATGATGTTTTTGGTCTCTTCTAGCAAGAATACCACCATGTATGTTAGGATGTAAAGTTTTTACACGACCATCAAGCTGTAAAAGAATAAAAACACAATAATAATTATACATTGTTAATTAAAGTAGAGGTTTCTTTATTGACCTTGCAAGGTCTTAGAGAGAACAATAATTTTCATAGTATCACAAGAACAACATTAAGTAAAAACATAATTTTACACATATCTATAACAAACTAGAGATAAACAGTTCCCCATCCCTTATTAAGGAGTGGGCTGCCAAGTGTGCATTGGATGCTCAGAGAGAGAGAGAGAGAGCTGTTCTTTTTTAATCTTTTGAAAGAAAGGGATATCATAAAATGAGCACCCCAGAAGTCCTCTTCACTGGAAGGGCAGAATTACTTATTCAGAAATCAGATACAGGATATTCTAGGATTCAATTGGAATGCAAATGAAGTAAGTATAATGCAGATAATTTTGTAGAATAGCCACAAAAACCAAAAGCACAGTGGAAAGTGCAAGACTTTGCATGGAGAAATAAAAGCAAACTAGGAGGGAAATTAAAACAAAGATGCAAAGTCTGAAAACAACGGCAAACCAAACCAATATAGGTCAAGACAGTACAAGAACCAGCTCACCATTTCCGGAAAACAAGTAAGTTGCTCCACTTTGGTTACAGACACCCCAGTATTTTCCAAAGCAGATGCTGTTCCTCCGGTTGAAACAATTGTGTATCTGCAGGTTATGGAATAGGTCATTACATACAACAATTCACATCTCTACAAGAGGCACATGGTAGCTAACTATCTGACAATATCAAACCTGTATGGCAAAATTTTTATTGTTCATTTTAAGATATAAATATATTGTACCATACATACTAAGAACGCAAGTTAGTGTGTCACAACCCACCCCACCCGTGTAGATATTGTCCCTTTGCACACTCTCCTTTCGGTTTCCTCAAAACGCGTCTACACAGTTAGGGGGTGTCCACACATATAAGTCTCAACACCTTCTGTCCCCCAGACGATGTGGGATGTCACAATTACCCACTCTTGGGACCCTCCTGTGTGACCCGCATGGGCTTGTGCTAGCCCCCCCATTTATGGTTAGGAATTGGCTCTAATTCCATTTGTCCGAACCACCTCGCACCGTGTACATATTGTCCACTTTGCACACTCAACTCTCGATGCTCGCGGTTTTCCTCAAAATGCATCTACATAGTTAGGGGGTGTCCACACATATAAGTCTCTCCCCCTCCCCCCCCCCCAACCCACCGCGGGCCGTCACATAGTAGGCCAACATTATTACAAAAAACAAATAATAAATTGAAACAATAACTAATTTCATGTAAATTACCAAATACTTCTTATTATAATTTTATTGAATGTAAATGTATCAGCAGACATGCACTAAAAAGTAATAAGCTACAAGTACCAGATTCAATTTTCTACAAAGGCTCAATTCAGTTTTATTAACAGAAAACAGATCCATTACGATTCAATTAAGTGCAAGAATAAAAGGGCAGAAAAGTTTAGTTAGATCAGTGTGCATGATGCGCACGCCATGTTACCATGGCTGTGATTTATTCAGACATAATTCCTTAAATTTTTAATAAAATATATAAGGAAACAGCAAGGTTGGCCTGAAAGATCCAATGCCCTGATTAACATAAATTAACGCAATGATCCCAACATAATCTGCACTGTAGTGAACATCTTTCAAACAAAATTCTGAACCAATAATTGAAGAAGGAAAAAATATCAGATTGTTGAGATTTATTATGAAGCAATCTCAAGCAAATGCACCAAAGAATAGAGGGCAACAAAATTTCTGAAAATTCACCCTAGCTCTTGAAGTCCATTGCCAAGGAAAGCCAGATCCTTTTTGTCTGACAATGATATAAGTGCATGTTTGTTGCCTGAAATGAAGTGTTGATAATCTAAATCAGAAAAATTGCATTTAAGAACATTACAAAGATATAACTTCAAAAACCCAATGGTCCCACCAAGAAAGAAAAGAGGAGAGGATGAGAGAGGGGAGTGAGGGGGAGAAGGCTGGCTTCAATGCCTGACCTCTTGAACACCCTCTGAGTGCCAACATCCAGATTTTATCACCAGAGCAAGTAATAGGATGAGCTACAAAATGACTCATCTTGAATCCAACACATTTTTAAGTGCATTATCTTATGAAACCATGAAGCTTGCCAAATTTTAACTGAGTCACCAGCCAACCTATTTAGACTTAGAAGAATTACTAAATTGAAAGTAATCCTGCACCCAAGTATTTGAAGGGGCCAAGTTGCATAAATCATTTTGGCTCATACCAAGGAGTAAACTCTCTCATATTATCTAGGGTGGTTATGATTTCAATTCTGCAACTCTCAATCATTAGCCTTTTTACTTCACTTCATTTTGCAGAGAACACAGAAGTCATTTGAATGTATCCATGAATTTTGTGTAGATGAAGAGCTTCAATTTTTAGTGTTTTATTGCAATTGGATTGCTTTGTAGTTTGTGGTTTTTAAAAAGGAAAAGTAATGTTTACTACGTACTTGAACTTGTGATGACTTGAAATTTATTCATCCCTATTTGAAAATCATATTATGGGGTTATTGCTTAATTAGATGTTTCATTCCATTAATTTTCATTTTAGGTTCATGCTTTCTGTAAGTTTTATAAAATTTCATATAATTATTTTTATTTTAGCATTTATTAATTATGGGTATCAATGTAAATGAATATGAAAGTTATAGAATCAATAACATCAATGTATCTAAGTTTCTTATTCTAACTACAGTTTGAAATACATTCATTAATTTTGTCAATGACAATGTAATGTAACCAAGTTTCTTCTTTTTTTCTAAAACCTATAAAACTAAAAGTATATGCTATTTATTATTTGTTAAATGACACTACAGAAGAACAATCCAGGCTCCACACATGAGCTTCGGCAAGATTCATGAGAATATAATAGTTCAATAAAGACTACACAAAATTATAAAAAAACAAAAAAATATTCATGGAATGCCCTCATTCCTCCTCACATTATAGATTTAACAACCGCAAAGATTGCTAACAAGACACTTCTTTCATATGCACATATATTCTCAGTATATATGTGTGTGTCAACTGTGTATATATGTGTTTACTAACCACCAATGCTGTAACAACCAATTTCATGAACTCCAATGTTGAAACAAGACAGCCCAAAACATCTTAAATGTCAAACAAATAACATAACCCTTAACAAGAACATTTTAAGCTTTGATTGAATATAAACTGTATCAGCAGATTATTCATTTTACAATTTGGGATACTGGGTATGCATACACATAATATATATATATATATATATAAAGACAGATAGGTAAGATTACCAGAAGCAGAGGCCTCGGAATTGGCCTTGGGAATTGACATGGTATCTGCCTCAGCCATGGCTATAACTGAAGAAAAGCTAGGGCGAAAAGACGAAGTCGACGAAGAGTGTTGCAATGAAGAAGAAGACTGACAGCAGAAAAAAGGAGACAAATTTAGAGCTCGACATGAAATCGGCGATGAGAATTAAAAGAATTACAAAGAGTACCAAATTGTTCCGACTAAACAAGAACAAGTGTGTATATATATAGAGTATATAATTACCGGCTGGAAGAAACAACTAGTTCTCCGAGAATTGCAGAGTTGAAGAACAACAGCACAAGGAATGTGATTGTGAGCGACGACGGCGGTGGTGGCGGTGGCGGTGGCGGTGGTGGCGGCGGCAAACTTGAGCATGTCTTTGGCTCTGTAAAGGGGGAACTTTTGGTATGGTAGATAGTGTGCGGATGTGTTGCTGGTATGGTTATTTTGGGCTCGTGTGTTGCGACTCTGTAGTTCGCTATTTAGAAAACTTAAATATGAAAATTTATTTGAATGACATTTTTCTAAAATGATTTTATGAATAATCAGTTACTGAGATATTTGTTTTAATTCTTTTAAAAAATTTATTTAAAATTTTAAAATTAATAAGTCAAATATACCCGTTAATTTGTCCAATGACCTGAGAAAATGAGATTCAATGTGAAAAAAATTCATGCACTACCCAATATAGTGTTTTGTGGACCTCACGAAATATTATTGCACTTCATGAGTCACTAAAATTATCTTTGCCAGATCCTATTTTAATTTCTTAAATTCTATTTCATTTCAAATACAAAAATATATTTTAGTTTATAACAAGGTTTTTGGTCCCATGGTATGACCTCTTCATCCAAGAAGAGAAATGAGTTCAAACTTAAACATATACAAAAATACGTGACTACGTACCTTAAATATATATATATATATATATATATATATACAATTTCATTTTATTCAAAATACAAAATACAAATATTTTCAAAAATTAGATTTAATTCTCCAAACATCTATGCAACACATATATTAAGATCAATAATTCAATATTGTTAGAGAATTTTGTCCCACATTAAATTTAGATGAAAGAGGTCTTGCGTTTATGAGAATGGAATTTTTAAATTAGATATATTAAGATCAATAATTCAATATTGTTAGAGAATTTTGTCCCACATTAAATTTAGATGAAAGAGGTCTTGCGTTTATGAGAATGGAATTTTTAAATTAGATGGATTTGACCCGTTATATCAAACCCTTTAGGGAAGAAGATGATATACCAATGTTGTGAACCATTAAATAGTGTATTACTAATTTACTAAGAATTATATGGTAGAAAAGTAATAAAAAAACATTCTCTTGCATGGGTTATCCACATTGGCCAACCCTTTTTCATTAGTGCAAAGCCGCCCCAAATCAGGCCTAGTTTCCCGGTCTGGGGGCCCATTAAAACCCACTCATAAGCAGGCTGAGCCCACAGCATGGACCACCTGTTTTCCATGGGCCTCAACTGGGCTCTCTAACGTTTGACAGTAGCAGACTGAAAGAGTTTTATAATGGTCGTGGTCAATCTCACCCCCTCCATAACCAAATGGACCTTCTAGGTATATATATATATATATAGGGGCGGAGCCCGTGTATGTCCAAAGGGGGCACGTGCCCCCTCTGGCCTGGCCTGGTCCCGCTTACTATAATATATATACTAAATTTATATATTTTACATGTATATATAAAAAAAATTATATAATGTCACTCCTAAAATTTTAATTTTCTAAAATTATCTCTTAAATTTTGTATTTATCTCTTTTATCACTCTTTAAACTCATTTAATTTCCTTTTAAAAAAGTCAAAAATTCTTTTTTGAATCAAACTCTAATTTTTTTCCCTTTCAAAATTTTCTCATTTTTATTTCCTTTTTAAATTTTTTGTCAATTATTTATCTTTCTTAAATTACTCATTAATTGATATATTATTTTGAGTAATTTTTCTTTTTTATTTTTTGATTTACACTATATCCCCCGGGCCAATTTAATTTCTGATTCCGCCCCTGTATGTATATATATATATTTAATATCCTGACAGCACCGCCACATCCAAGGGCTGGGATAACCCTTGGAACTATAACTGAGTATTTAATACTTCCTATAAAAAAATAAAAAATAAATCCCCTTAGGAATGTCAAATCAAAGTGTTCCAAGACCGCTATGTCCATTACTTGAAAAGCCCACCTAAAGGGTATATATAATAATAATAAATTTAAATAAAAAAAAAAAAATTAAGATATACTAGAATGACTTAAATTTAGACCCGTCTTTTTGAGATTTGTCTCTATTGAGACGGATTTAAGATCATCCTAATAACATTAGAGACGAATTTAGAAAGAGTTTAAAATTCATCGTGTTATCATCTCTAATAACTTACGTTGTTAAAAGGTGACATATTAATGAAGTTGACATGTATATACCGTTAATCAATTAAAATCTTACTGCAACATGAACATTAATAAAGTTTATACGTTTATTTAAATGACGACTAATAATTAACTCTGAACTAATTACATATCGAGTCCATATAATAATACCTCGTAACATAAACCTCCTATGCTACTGTATATTATAGTCAAACACCATTAAACAAGATCCACATGAACTCGTATGCTAGTTTCATTTCTTGTATGATTGAGGAGAGCATGTTCTATCACGTGCTAGAGATGGATAGTCCAAAGATTTAACAGAATTTAATTAATTAACCAAATTAGTAGCACATCTACATATATATATATGTATAGTGTCAGAGGGTATAAAAGGCATCTTTGAGTAGTTGTGGTCAGTCAGAGCAATGTTTTTATATAAATCACTCAAATTACCATCACTGGATTCAACTTTGACCATCACTATGATAAAGTGTCAATGAACTTTAATCAATCTTTAAATTAAGAGCACAGTCCCACAAAAATCTTGTACTCTCCTTGGACAGTGTGTGAGTGTGTGTTTTTAGAGAGTTGAATATTGCATCTTACAGGCTGTTTAAAGTATTTTTGTCCTCCTGACATTTTCTACTCACTTTTAATCGTTTGATGTTGAATTCACAAGATCTGTTTCGTTAAATTGATTATTCCATAATTGGTTGAAACTAAGAGTATAAAAGTATAATTGGATTATTCTTCAGAAAGTCTCTCTCTCCCAAACACATACACAGTGAATTAAAGTATTTTATTTCCCAAGATTGATTTGAAAAATTAAATTGCAAAACAAATATATATATATATATATATATATATATATATATATGTGACTCTTTTCAAGTTCGCTACGTAATTCGTATCAATCAGTTTACACTGATTTTATCTAAATTCGTTGCACTACAAACCATGCATTAGTTATAAATTTCATGTGCATGTGTATAATCTTGATAGTAGTGATGCTAACAAAAAGGTTTTTTTTTTTTTAATATATATATATAGAGAGATTTAAATTGTAAGTATTACATAAGATGTATAAGATTTTAAATGTATAGATCCATAATGTTAAATGATATTTTTTTTTTTTTTGACAAGTAGAATGGGAAATGAAAATGTTCCTCTAAAAACATAAATTTGTCCTTGATTAGTTTATTTCTTGGTTTGATTTATAATATTCTATATTCTAGAAAATTTCACACATTTTTTAATTCTTACATGCACGAGTTAATTTGCCTCATCTTCATTTTTTTATCTTCATTCATTTGAACTTTATTTATTTATTTTTAAGTAATCTAACATTTTATGCAAATACAAATTATAAAATGACATTTAATATGAAATATATCCTGAACAATTTTACATATATATATATATAAAAACTATTCAAATATATGATTGATATTGAAACTCCAAATTAATGAAAATTGAGTGTTCATAGGTTCATATATATTTGTTTAATAAACGAGGTGAAATTGACTAAAGTCTCTAACTATAGAATATACTTGACCAAAAGTAGACTCGACTTATATTGGGATGATAAATATATACTAATTTTTTTTTAGTGTGAACTTGACTATTAATTATTAAGTCTATTATTATATGATGTGCTTGACCAAAAGTAGACTAATCTTGTGTTGGGGTGATGAACACATGCATGATATTTGTATTTTTTATTTTACTTTTTAAAAGTTTTCATTTATTGATAGTGACTGTAATAAAAAATAACAAAATGTAAAAAAGTGTAACAATTTAATGTACAAATAAACTACACATGTTTTATCATCTGGATCCAACTGAACTCAATTTTTGAACTTGTATTAAGAATAAATTGATCCCGGATGAACAAACCGAGAGAAAAATAATATTAAGCTCCTTTCTAATCCTAATTAAGGAGAAAATTTTCAATACTCCCTTTAGGGATACCAACTCCGCCCGATCATAACTCTCTATTTACTTTGATAATAGGAAATGAGACTTCCCTAGTGGGAGTAATTATCAATGGCTCCAATACCCAATTGTTACATACATTATATTAAGTCTTGTGACTCGAATTTGATGTATTTGTAGCGTTTTGGAGAAGATGGATCAATCTTAAGTAATTTGGACTAGTCCAACTAGAGAAAGATTGAAAATAAGGAGTTGTCTTATTTGGACCCGTATAAGTTATTTAGAACGGTCCAACTAACAGAAAGTATTAAATACTCCGGATCACGGATGCGATAGTGGGCCCCCATCACATTTAAGGTCTAGGATGATCCAAGTATCATACTCGGGATATTTAATATTTTTTCCTAACTACGATGAAAAGACCGTAGATTTGTGAAGGAATTTATGACACATTAGGTTGCTATTTTAGAGATGTGATTGATATGGTAAGTTCTTATAGGCAAGTGATTGAATTTTTGTCCAATAAGATTATTGGGTTTGAAGATTTTATAAATAGATATAGGCGTGAGTAGGTATGAACGTAGCCCTTGAGTTGGGTGAACTATATAAAAATATTGTATTGTGTATAAATGTGTATACTTGTTATCTCCACACATACTTATGTAATAATGATATTTCCATGGTGTATGATGAATAATAGAATTAACTCTCAACAACATACTGTTAAGTAGGTTAAAGAGTGTTAATTAGGGCTGCAACTCCGGCGGATTGGGCAGGCTTGTCATTCATCTTAGGCTAGGCCCATATAGAAAATCTTCCGCCCGAGCCGAGCTGCCTAAGCCCAACCCATACATAATTTGTCTAGCCCGAGCCTGCACTAAGCCTACCTCAGAAGAATTTGTGTAAAAAATAAATCAATTAATACTACACCACGACTTGAACCTGAAACCTTAAGCATAAAACCTAAGCATACTACCAACTTAGTTACTACACTCTTACGACTTAGGTATAATTATAAATATATATAATATTTTCGGGCTCGGGTTGGACTTCGGGCTTCATCCGTATCAACCCAAGCCCAACTTGAATTAAATTCGGGCTCAAAATATATAGCCTAAGCCCAAACCGA